GGCGACGAAAACAGCGGACGGGAGTGTGACCGATCTTACCTCAAACGGAGCCACGGCGAGGACCGGTTTGGAGCTGGTACTGACAGCGCCCGTCACCCGAACTGCCACTCAGAGGCACACCACGCGCACGACCACCACGTCCACTGCCACCACCAGTGCCAGGCCACCTGGGCAGGAGACCACTCGCTTGCCTCTGCTGCTGCGGCTGCTGTGACTGCTGCGGCTGCTGCGGCTGCTGCGGCTCGTGCTGAGGCTGCTGCTGCGGCTGGTGCTTGTTTGGCTGCGACGCCTGCGGCTGCTGGGATGGCTGCTCGGCTGCACCGGTCACGGTCCCCTCATCCGCGCTACCACCAGGCGACCCGACTCCACCACCACCTCCACCTGCACCGCCACCCCCACCGCCGCGCCCAGCCTTGGGGCGGCGACCCTTCCCAAGACGGAACTGCGCTGCAGCTGCGGTCTCAACCACAGCAGCGGAACCGTCTGAGAAGGTGCACTTAGCGGGGGCACAACCCTGAAAGATAGGGACCTGCACTGTACCGCTGGTCTGGGCGATAGAACGATGACGGGTCTCTATGGCAGACAGGGTTTCTACAAAGTCAGTGAGGGTGAGATCACCAGGGTGGATGCTAAGAAAGAGATAGTAAGACGGTTAGGGAGGCGGGTGGCAAGCAGGTAGAGGGTAGAGCAGAGGGGCGGCTGAAAGGCTCTAAGTGCAGGCAGAGCGCCAGGTTGCGTCTATCGTGCGCAGGTGAGCGGCCAGGTCAGCGACAGTGGGGAAAGACGCAAGGTCCGGAAAGAGCATCGGTAGGATCAGGCGACCTACAGAGGCAGCGGGCGGGGTGGAATAGCGCTTGACAACAGCATTTAGGAATTCCTGCGCAGTCATGATTGACCTAAAGCAGGGGTGCTCAGACAGGGTGAGGGCATGACTGATCGCAGGCTGCGCGACGGCGTCACGCGACAACCAGACTGAGCGGGCAAGGGCAGCAGCTGCAGCGGACTCACGGTCGGTGGACGAGGGGTCATCGGGCAAGGCAGCAGGGGGGTCAGGGCAGGGAAGCGTACCGTTAAGATGGACCGCCAGGGAGTGGCCATCCTGCCGCTGACCAGTGAGATGACGGCGGAGGTCGACCTGCCACGTGTCAAACTCAAGCGGCTGACCCTCTGCGTCGAAGCGGAGCACGGATTCCGCCATCAGGAGCGATGCAACAGCGGTGCAGCACTGTGCAGTGCGGTGCAGAGCGGTGCAGGGCGGTGCTGTGCGGTGCAATGCAGTGCACGGCAGTGCTGTGCGGTGCAGTGCGGTGCAGTGCGGTACAGGGCGGTGCAATGCGGTGCAGAGCGGTGCGGTGCAGTGCAGTGCGGTGCTGTGCGGTGCTGTGCACTGCAGAGTGGTGAGGGGCGGTGCAGTGCGGTGCTGTATGGTGCTGGAGCCGGCTAGGAACAAGCGCGAGGGGCCGGCTGGAACGGGCGCGGGGCCAACTAGGGGCGGGCGCGGGGGCCGACTAGGAACGGGCGCGGGGCCGGCTAGGAGCGGGCGCGGGAGCCGGCTAGGAACGGGCACGGGGGCGACTAGGAGCGGGCGCGAGCTAGCTAGGGGGAACAGGCGGCTAGGACCTAGGGCGGAAGCGTGGGTGGGCGGTGGGATCTACCTACTCGTGATACCATATCATAATTGAAGAATGATTGAGCATGAGACAGTACAAGGGAATATATGCAAGTGTGTTGTACCCTCTAAGGCACAAACCTATATTGTCTATACTAACATAGTAAGATATGTTTGACAATCTAGTCATCGGCATCAACGACCGCTTCAACGGCCTCTACAACCTTGACGGCACGAAGCTCTTCAAGGTGAAGGCCTACCTCAACAACGGCGACCTGCGCATGGCCCGCTTCAGGCAGTGGCTGAGGCAGCTGGCCGGACTCTGAAGTCAAGCCCCCTGGTAAGTTGTGTGCTCAGTACATGTGTGTTCGCCATGTGAGTTTGCCCAATGTGTTTGCACCTAAAGCACCCATGTCTCACAATCCCCTCTGTTGTTTACTCCTCGTTGTTCCCCTGCAGGTTTCGACTACCAGAAGGCTGTGAGGGAGCTGTGGATGTTCACCAGCACCATGGCCTCGCAGTACAAGGACGATGATTTCTATACCGCACTGACACTCACCCTCGACAACAACGACTGGCAGTGAGGCTACCCCAACATCCTGAGGCTGTGGCAGGCGGTGGCAGTGCTGCCTCTCAGCACTGTCGAGTGCGAGTGTGGGTTCTCTAAACAGAACCTAATCAAGACCTGGGGTCGGGGTAGCCTTGGGGATGACCACTTGGGTGACTTGATGCGATGCAGCTTGCTGGAGTACCAGGTGGATTGGTACGCTGTCATGGCTAACTTCCGTGCAAAGAGGCATCGTCGCCCCACCCGAGACCTTCATGGGGTGAATCTGGCCCCTGCTGCACCTGCTGAGCCCCAGGGAGAGACTCAGCCTCTGGAGGAGCCAGTAGTGGTTGAGTAGGATGGCTTGTTAAGCTGTAGCTAGGGTATATTACTGTTGCATGCTGACATGTAAGTAGCTGTAGGTAGGCTAGCTTAATGAAAGTATGTAATCGTAGGTAGGTAGGCCATGAAGAGATAACTGTGCATGTTAACTGCAATATTAAATTGCACACTTAAGTGTACTGCAATCAGTGAGCGTAAAAAAATACCCTGAACAGACAGGGTGCGAATTTTTTTACGCTGCAGAATCAGACTGGAAAAAGAAGTCACCCCTTACGTCAAGGTGTTTTGCCAGGCAAACCCTGATTCCAAAGTGTGCTCTATAACCAATTTTGGGCCCTGGTGTCCAGGTGCGTTTTTTTAAGTTGGAGCTGGGCAGCAGCCCGCACTGCTCGATACTTAGAACAAACCCATATGGCATATTTGTCGCGACACTGTACCGTACGAATTTCGTTTCGCGTCGCGCGTTGTGGGCTGCACGACGTGGCACGCGATTTTGCCACGTCAAAACGGGCCCCACTTGGTCATCAAGTGGGGCCCCACTTGATTTTCGCCCAGGGAATGCAAGAAAACCAGGAATAGCAGAGGGGGGTCCCTCTTGACCCCCCCTGCAGAAAAAGCCGAGGCCCACGTGGCCTGCGACAGACGTCGCAGGGAGGCTGCACGACGCGTCAGGCTGTCAATATTTTTTCGCCTCGAACTCACATTACCTAATACTCTCGCGCAACCAACAGGATTTGTGCAGTCCTCTTTTGTTTTCGGACAGTTACAAACTTCGGGGCACTTGGACGTTTCGTTTTTTCGCAAGGTTTTGGGATTTTTTTTGCACCCACTCAACAATCAAGAGGGACCCCCCCTCTGCTATTTTGATGTCGGGTTTTAAATTGCGTGTTTTCTGTAGTTGACCCTGTTTATTCAGCACAAAATTTATACAACACCTTGATTGATCAGCGTATTTTTTTTTGCTAGGCCTGAAAAAACAGGGAGCTACGAGGGGGGGACACTGAGCGATCAATGTGCCCAAAACGAATCTGAGGCCCTGTCTATGACCCTTATCCATCTGGGACAGATTTGCGACGCCTAGTTTTTGGTGACGCACATATGGTAACATCTGAAGAAGGGCTATATTGTTAGGAGAGATCACTAAACGGCGGTGTGAATCTCCATAGAGTTCACCAGAAGACGGCAATGTCACTTTGCAGAAGCGTACATTTCTATACCGGTTTGAACATGTAAGCCACCGCTCTCTACGGCTCCGCGACGTTTACTAAGGGCCTCGTGAAATCCAGCCAGGCGAAGATTCAAGGGATTGGTAGGGGCCGTTCGCTGGCAATTTGCCGAGGGGAACGGGAAGGGGAACGGGCGACCAAATCCCGCGCGCATGGAATTTGCGCAGCCAAACCTACGTAATTTTTTTTGTGTGCCCCAGTACTTTGGTAATCATAACATCGCCGGCTCATGATTACGTCGGGCATGACTGCAGGCCTGGATACGACAAACTCGCAGACAGTGGAGAGTGGGGCCCATCAAAAGCCCTGTTAGCCCATCGCACTTTCGTCGAAAATCTAGCGGAGAAAATGCATTTCACACAATTTTGTCAAAACTGCCCATTTGTTTAACATTTCAAAAGGTGGCCAGTTGGATGGGTACAAGCTGGCGCAATTGCGCAGATTGACGGGTATGGCTGGAGGGGAAGTGGCTGTGAGGGACAAGCGTGAGCTGTGGTTTTTTTTTTGGGTTTCGTAAACCTGCCTAGCCAAGAGGCATGCCAATCTTGGCCTGCCTCATACCACAATTTTGCTGTATGAGGTGGCACGGAGTGATGTTGATGTTTGCCTGGCAGCTCTGGGCGGCTGATGGCGGCACTTCGGATTTGGCCTGAGAAGGGGCACGCGATTTGGGGTCATTTGGTTTGGGGAAACCGTACCGATGCGACGATGTCGCATGCTGACGTCATGTTTCGCAAATTGGGCTTGGCGAACCCATGAAGCCTCGTTCGATGCTCCACATGCCTGATTTCCCTCGCCGTGCCGGTGAAAAATCGGCCAGCGAACGGCCCCCTAGAGAGGAACTCGAGATTCCTGAAGGGCCTAATCCCTGGTAAACCTAAATTCGGCATTCTGAACACTCAGCTCTTTTACCACGGGAAACGGATTCCTTGGTTCGGCAAAGAGTAGAGAAGCACAGTGCGATGTGACACACATCTGAACTGATTCGCGTTTCTAACGTGGCGAATAGGGCTGTTCCAGCGACACAGGGGTGTTGATTGGTTTGGTTTCGACTGACAAACCACCTCCTTCAGCGGAGGCGGGAAAATAATCGCGGACAGTTCGCGCGCAAATGCATTGGTTGATGGCGCGTTCGCGGACTGTAGTTTGTGTAACCTATCTCGCCAAAACGGCTGTCGCCAACCAATAGAAGGATACCTAGCCCTTCATCCCCATCAAATTCCAAACCCCTAGTTTCTCCCTTTCAGACGGAGATGGATTCTTCCATTCCATTCCGAATTTCAAGCTTTTGAACTACAGTCCTCCTGGACTCTTCCCGCATTGTGCCTCTGCCAATGCCAGAACCTACCGCGGCGCGCAAATGCTAGACCTGTCCGCGTTGCAAATTTAGAACTTTCCGCGCATCAACTCCCAGACCTGTCCGTCCCAGCCATGACAGTCCTAGAGTCTTGGACTTTTGACGCGACCGCATCGGCGTCGGGATAAGTTCCATTAACATATAAGCTAGCATTCAAAGAGTGGTAGTACCCGTTATCTCGGCTTCGCAGCGCGATACTGACCTGCTACCACGGCGTTGTGCCGGTTCAAAGGCTACTAGCGACACCCTCTTTTTTACAAACCAGGGCGGAAAAGGCCGCGCTATTAACGATGCGTCGTCGGCACCCGATGATTCCAACGTTCGTCTCCGATGCGACGAGAGAGGCGGCTCTGAGGGAGGCGTGGTGGAATCAACCGCTCTCGCCGGACGTTCAGGAGATGCTGACGAGGTGGGAGTACCACGGGGAGAGGGAGGACGAGGGTGGGACAGGAAAAGCGGAGGAGAAGAAAGAAGGGGGAGCAGAGAGAGGGGAAAGTGAGGTACCGCCGGGGAAGCTTCAACTGCTGTGTCGGGCGGACATGGTTCACTACTTGGACGTGAGAGACGGGTGGGAGCTGGAAGAATGCGAGTGTTGCTTCGACCGTGCGGTGAGCTTCCGAGCCCAGCGCGCGCTCAACATGATGAGCCTCGAGGACTTCCGCTTCCAGCTGCACGTGCACCAGCCTGACTCCGTCCCCGCTGCGCCGCCCAACCGACCCTCCAGGGCAATTCTCGAGTACGCCCAGCGGGTACCGGTGGAGGCGCTAGGTGGGGGGGGGCGGGGGGGGGCGCCGCCTTATATACAGTTTCACTGGAAGTGTGAGCGGGCGCCGTTCCTCTGTGCGGAAGGGATGGTTCTGGAGTGGATGGCTGAGCCTCGTGTGGGCGTGCTCATGGACTTGGGGAGGATCAGATCTCGCCTGCCGGCTATTTTGGGTTCTACTGGTGGGGATTCTTCTAAGGAGGCTTCTTCTGCTTCAGCTGCTGCGCCCTCTGCAGCGTGGTCCTGCTGCTGGCGCTGCAGCAGCTGCTGGGCTGCCTACCGCCGTGCTGTCAGCTTCGCTGCTTTTCTCGTTCTTGTAGCGAGGTGCCCTAGAATTGTGACTTTATGGAGGGCTCACATGGACTCGCCCTCTGTGCTTTTCCCGGCCATAGTGGCTGAGCTAGGGGCGGGCTGGCAGCAGGAGGACGATTCGTTCGCGTCCCTCCTGGTGCAGTTGCTCGGGGTGAAGGAGACTGCTGACCTCAAGGAAGGGTTTGGGTTCTTTGTGCAGAATCTGCTGTCAGGCGGCCTTGAGAAGGCCCATGCGGAGGGGAGGGGGGGAACGGAGAGGAAGGGTGCAGAAGGGGGGGGTATCGGGCAAATGGAGGGTGGTGAGGTTATGAGGCACATGGGGTGTTGTGAATGCACGGGGCACATGAGATGTGGTGACTGCATGGGGTACATGGGGGGGGGTGGGGGTGGAGAGCACGTGGTGTTCTCTGAGATGGGGAGCCCTGGAGAGACGTGGGAGCGGGGGATCGAGCGCATGGCGCAGGCCATGACGAGAATGGTGGAGCACCACGAGGCCAGAAGGGGCGTGGGGGCAGAACCAGTGGGCGGAAGGAGCATGGGGGTTGAACCAGGCGCGGGGATGATGGGGAATGCATGGGGAGGTGGGGAACAGGGGCGGGACATGGAGATGGAGCTGATGAGGAGGATAGGGAGCGACTGGGGAGGAGCGCGGCCGGGAGAGGTGGCAGGGCTGGTGGAGCTAAACAGAGGAATGCCCACGATGGGCGGTATGGGGGACATGGGGGGCGGTATGGGGGGGGAGGGGGACGCATTAATGGGGTCGATGGCTGGATGGGCTGATGGGGGAAGTGGAGAGGAAGGGGAAGGCAGCGGTGAGGGGCGGGTGGGTGAGGTGGCGGATGGGAGTGCTGGTGGCGATAGGAATGGCAAGGTTGGGAATTGGAGGGAGACTCTGAAGGGGCCTGTGTGGGAGAGGTATGTGGATGGCATGGCTTGCATTTTAGAGAAGGGAGGGGGGGAGAGGAGGGAGTTCAGGTGCAGCCACTGCAGTGAGGGTAGTAGTAGCAGGAGTTGCGGTGGCAGCAGCTGCAAGGGGAGCAGCAGCAGCAGCAGCAGCAGCAGCAGCAGCAATAGCAGTAGCAACATGAATGGCAGGAATATTCCGGAGGGCATGTATGTGAGTGGCGTGGGTGCCACTGACTTCGCCCTTGCAGTCGCTACAGTGTTCTGCAAGCCCCAGTACTGCAAGGAGGGGCAGGTGTTCCTGCTCGACGGGAACAATGAGATCAAGACGAGGGTGGAGGATGCAGCCATTGAGGAGGCCAGGAGAAGGCTGACAGGAAAACGGCTGAGAAGGGTGAGGGGCGAAGGAGGAATAGGAGGAGGTGGAAGAGCGGGCGCAGCCATTGAGCGGGCTAGAGCAAGGCTGAGAGGGGAGACTGGTGAAAGGGGAGGAGCTCGAGAAAGGCTGGGGGAAGTGAGGGGCGAGGGGGGAGTAGGAGTTGGAGGAGGGGTGGCAGCCGCCACTGCTACAGCAGCACCCAGTGTTGCCACCTCGGCTATCGGCAGCACATCTGTTGGGACTGATTCTCAGACTTCTTCTGGTTATAGTGCCACCCACACCCATTCCCCCACCCAAGGCACTGCTGGATCCAGCGCCAGGCTTGTGCTTCTCAATACGAAGCCTGTGGTCACAGCCGCACCCAAAGCCGCTATGCCTGTCAACACAAACCCTGTGGTTGCTGCTTTCACGTATCGAGCCAGTTGCATCCTGCAGTGGGTTCGGATCTACGGCTCAGATTTCATCTCGGCTAACAAATGCTTCAAAAAGAGCCCACAAGGCAAGGTCCTGCCTATGCGTCATCCACTTCGTGAACTTCCGAGCCTGCTTGTCAGGCTCGGCGCCATCCCCAAGCCTATGAACCAAGGTAGCTTCCCCCTGGAGTGGGAGGAGTGGCCTCAGGGAGAGGGAGCTGCTGCAAAGCTTCCTGATGACCCGAGTGCGAGATGCTTTCGACTGGGGATTGTGAAGGAGAGCGGAACGAGAGACGAGGGCGGGGGGAAGCCATCCAAGCACGCACGGAGATTCGGAGGGGCAGGAAGGGCTACGGGTGGGCGAGGAGGCAGAGGTGGTGGCAGGGGGAGCCGCAGGGGGAGTGACAGGGGGAGTGGAAGTTGGGTGGGGAGGGGCGCAGTGCATGGGGAGGCGCCAGAGAGCCTGGCAGATGCGCTCACAGCTGCAATGGCGCCTCAAAACACAACTCTCCCCATCGTGCGCTGCACAGCAGACGCGGATTTCCTAGTGGAGTTTGCCGGCCGCCTGGTGGTGCCACCCGCGTGCTCCCAGTGCACCACATGCTTCGGCGTATACACCTACTACCTCCCCGCGCTAGCCCTCATCGCCAATTTCGCCTACCAACCGGCCAGCGCCCTCTTCAACCGCTTTGTATCGGTCTTTCCGCCACACTCCCCTGAGTTCAACGAGCTTCTGAGTCTCCTGCATATGGAGCCACTCCCCTCGGACGTCCCTGCCCTGCTAAACCTGCATGTGGTGCGGGAGAGGGCGGAGCAGCTGCCTGTCTTCTTTCTGCTGCATGTGGCGTTCAACTGTCCCAAGGCTATGCTGGGAATAGAGGAGCTCGAGCAGGTGGGGCGGGAGGAGGGGAGGGGATGGGAGTATGGAGAGGGGAGGAACGCTGCAGCGAAGAAAGCTGAGAGGCGAGGGAGGAAGGGAGGCAGGAGGGGAGGCGGGGATGGAAGGGATGGTGGAGGGGAGGTGGTTGGCGAGTGTGGGGAGGTGTGGGAGGAGGTGCGGTCGTGGTGCCTTGCGGTGCTGGTGGCTTGGCGGGCGAGCCTGAGGGTGGTGGGGCCGGGGCTGAGTGCTGCTTGTGAGGGCAGCAAGAGGCTGGGCAAGTCAGGGATGGAGTGGGGTCCTAGGATGTGGCAGAAGGCCGTAGAGACGAGGTATTGTGAAGAGATGCAAGATGGGGGTGGGGCTAGCAGGGGCAGCAGCAGCAGCAGCAGCAGCAGCAGCAGCAGCGGTGGTGGTAGCTGGTGGTGGTGGGGTGGTGGCAGTGCAGGGACGGGCAAGGAGGGGGAGGTGCCGGCTTATCTGAAGCCATGGCCGGGGGGGGTCAATCTGGTGGCATGTCTGCGAGAGATGCTGCTGGGGCAGCCATGTTACCGCCCTCGCTCCCGTGCTGTCTCATCCACCCCTGCTGCTGATAACAAGGCTACTGCGCTGAACAATTCTGCCAGGGACAGTGCAGCAGCAGCTTCCAGGGGGAAAGCCTGTGGCCCTGCAAGTAGTGGGGGGCGTGTGTGCAGTGCCCTGGGATGTGAGAGGCCGGAGGGTGGCGGTGTGAAGCTGAAGAGCTGCGCTGGGTGTGGCAAGGTGGCGTATTGCAGCAGAGACTGCCAAAAGGCTCACTGGCCCTTCCATAAGCTTTCCTGCAAATCGAACTCCAGCAGCAAGGTGAGTGGCTAGGCGAGTGGCAAAGTCTGTGCAAGGTGAATAATTAGAGCAATGACTAGAACTGTGTGGCACGAGAAGGTATCGAATGTTGGGAAGAGGTATACTTAGGATTCTGATGAGGTACGGTCAGTAAGGGGCTCTTACCAAACCCATGTTCTTACCAAACCCATATTCTTACAATATTCATGTGCTTACCATATTCGTGTGCTTACCATATTCATGTGCTTACCATATTCATGTGCTTACCATATTCGTGTGCTTACCATATTCGTGTGCTTACCATATTCATGTGCTTACCATATTCGTGTGCTTACCATATTCATGTGCTTACCATATTCATGTGCTTACCATATTCATGTGCTTACCATATTCATGTGCTTACCATATTCATTGCTTTTTTTTTTTTGTGCTTACCATATTCATGTGCTTACCATATTCGTGTGCTTACCATATTCGTGTGCTTACCATATTCGTGTGCTTACCATATTCGTGTGCTTACCATATTCATGTGCTTACCATATTCATGTGCTTACCATATTCGTGTGCTTACCATATTCGTGTGCTTACCATATTCATGTGCTTACCATATTCATGTGCTTACCATATTCATGTGCTTACCATATTCATGTGCTTACCATATTCGTGTGCTTACCATATTCGTGTGCTTACCATATTCATGTGCTTACCATATTCATGTGCTTACCATATTCGTGTGCTTACCATATTCGTGTGCTTACCATATTCGTGTGCTTACCATATTCATGTGCTTACCATATTCATGTGCTTACCATATTCATGTGCTTACCATATTCGTGTGCTTACCATATTCATGTGCTTACCATATTCATGTGCTTACCATATTCATGTGCTTACCATATTCATGTGCTTACCTAACCCGTGTATTTCTTGCCTTTGGTTGTCCCCATGTGTGCCAGCTGTTGGGAACTTGGCGTATTGGCGTTGGCCTTGTGTGTCTGCTCCTGGTCTCATGGCTGGTATGGCAGCTGTTGGGTTCGCCACGCTTCGCCTCTGCCTGAGGTTGGTGTATGTATATCACTTCACGTGTGTTTTGAGTTTACTCAAAACGCTCATGCCTGAGGTTGTTGTATGTATATCACTTCACAATATGCAGTCGCCCCACCCTTGCCTTTTCTCACCTATCTCTCATGCGGAGACTCCAATGGTCACATCGTTTGTATCAGTCATTTGTCATGAGGGATGTCACACAACAGCCTTGGTGCCTGCACCCAGTGTTGGCCCCTGTTTTCTAAACGTCCTTGTGCATGCAGAAGCCCTCCATCTCTAACTTCTCCAACCATGCATTCCCTCATTGCTGCTGCAGCTTCTGTTTCTGCCTCTTCTTGGACCTACCAGAGCTGGCTTCCTCGACTTCCACCGGTGGCAACATATTGGTCGGGCTGCACGCTCCACTAACTCTGCTTCATGAGATGAGCTTGCTTGCGTGATGAAAGCAAACATCAAACCTGGTTCTACGAATCCACGAATCCTGTACTTTGGTTCTTAGTAAATAATGGTGCCCTATCCTGTCACAGCCTGGCCTCGCAGTTTGACCTGAAAACTTGCATTTTGCAGTTTACATACCGTAGTGTTCCTTCCTTCACAACCTACCCTCCATTGCTGACCAGGAATGGTATCTCACTTCACCGGATTGTGGAATGGTGTGTGTAATCAGCAAGATTGAGAAAATTGTAAGGTTATCAAGAGAATCGATGACTATGGGAAAATGTCGAGAGGTACAAAACTAGGGTTGTACTCGCTAAGAACTAAACTAGCTAGGCTATAAAAAAAAAAACCTAGCTAATCTATAAACCGTATTCCCCCGTATATAACACCCTATGGTATTGTCAAAATTTCATCGAAAATGCGTGTGGGTGTTAACAGTAGGCTGGAAAAATATGAAGCCCATGTCTTATGTAGAATGCAAAATGAATTTGGGCTGTAACAGGCTCTATGAGAAACATGAAACACAATGTAGCTTTTAGCGAGGTTTGGATGAGAGCCACTCACCTCCACTAGGACCAGCCTGTCAATTATGTGTTGGCATTCTGCATCTGTGGCCAATCGGAGTCAGCCGCACCTGCAAACACGCTAGGGAAGCAGCCTCATGTTGCTGACACAGATTCATCGACGGCAAGGGGGGCATTATAGTGCCAGCCTGACATCGATGTGCCAAAGTGCTTCACCAGATTCCTTTAGGGAATCTGGTAGATGGGACCAGCATGCATGGTCCCATCGCGTTTCCAAGACCGTGCGCGACTCGGCTTTGGGGGTTGGCCACGGTTCTTCTCCAACCTCTTCTTGCCGCATCGTCATTCTTGCTCTTCGATCAGCTCGCTCTCTCTCAAAACCTGTCGCAGTGCCCGGGCTCTCTAAAAGAGGCTCGGGCGCTGCTCAATGTCGCCTAGTTAGCACCGACACCTTTTCGTCTAGCATTCGATCCATGGCCGCTCAAGCAGTTAGTGGTGTTGCCTTGTTGCGACCTCATCGCCCTCAGTTTGGGAACCAGACTTTGCTTAGGCCGTTCCCGCCAGTTCCCCCGGCTCCAAGAACTTCTACGGTAGCTCCCGCACTTCCTGCTCCACCTGCCCCGCCTGCACCACCTGCGCCACCTGCTCCTCCTGCCCCACCGGCGCCGCCCGCTCCTCCTGCTCCACCTGGTCATTGGTCGCCAATAGCCACTTGTCCCCCGGAGTGGGACAACGCGTGGCAAGATGACGAGGACGAGCTCTACTGGGAGGAGGCCGCCGACGGCGAGCCTGAACCTCCCCGCCCGCTTCCTCGCATTGTCGTTCCCCGTTTCCCGCAAGCACAACGTCATCCTACCATGCCCAGGGTTAACCGTGATGCTGCACCTCCCTACCCCAGGGTTCGCAGGATGAATCGAAAGCGAGTCGCGCGGACAGCTGCCGAGAAGCTCTACTGGCTGGCGAAGATGGAGGCTGATCCGGATTTGTCCAAGAGCTCTCTCGCTCGCATGGCTGGAGTGCAGCCGTGCCAGATTCGTGACTGGAAGAAAAACAAGGCTCGCCTCACTACTGCTGCTGGTTGCAAGCGTTGTCTCATCGGCTCTGGAAGAAAGTCGAAGTACCCGATGATGGAGCGAGAGATTTACAAGAAGTTTCTTGGACACCGCGCGCGTGGGCTAGCTGTCTCGATCAGCACACTGCAGAAATGGAGCCAGAAGTACATGAGGAAGCACCACCCCGGAGTCGACTGGCGTGCCTCCTCGCGCTGGACGTTCCGGTTCCGCGCCCGCTGGGGATTGACGAAGCGCGTGAAGACAAAGATGGGCCAACGCATGATTGCCGGTAAGCTGTCGTCCCATCTCGTGGTCTTTCCCCTCTTGCCACTCTATTTCCATGCTGCGTTCATGCGACACTTGTTACAGTCGACTGAGTTGCTTCGTGGCCATTTAGCAATGATGCTCTTCTTTCTTGTATCATGTCTTTTGATACTGGCAGACTGTGAAGCCAAGGTTGAGAAATTATGGGAGTTACGTTCGGCAACTCCGCATGCTAAATGAGTACCCCGACGACCTGATCATCAACGCCGATCAGACGCCACTCTTCCTAGAGATGCCGCAGGAAACCACCCTCGAGGTCCGCGGTTCAAGAATGGTTCATGTGCGGACGGCCAGGTACGAGAAGGAGAGATTGACCGTCATGCTGGCAGTCACAGCAAGCGGCAAAAAACTGAAGCCGTATGTCATCTTCAAGTGGAAAACTCTGCCGCGTATCCGAGTCCCACCAGGTAATAATCATTTGTAATTGTTTACGCCTGCGTCCAGTGAACATTCTTTCACCATGATAACGACGACCACTAATTATCTCGATTCATTTGCATGTGCAGGGATTGTCATCAAAGCCCAGGAGAAGGGCTGGATGGACGAGGCGCACGTGAAGGATTGGGTCACCACCGTCCTCGTGCCATTCCTGCGCACCATCCCTGCGAGGCGTGGTGGCTGTCAGAAGGTGCTGGTGGTCCTCGACTCGTACAAGGGACACCTCACTGAGGGAGTGTCTCAGTTGATGCGCCTATTCAAGCTCTCCCCTGCAGTCATTCCCAGTGGATGAACGCCTATCGTACAGCCTTTGAACTTGGCAGCGAACTGCCTCGTCAAGGCGCACGTCCGTCGATCGTACAGTGAGTGGTTTGAAGAGTTAGGCTGCGAGTCAACCACTACTGCTGGTAAGCACCATGTTTTGTTGTCGACGTGTATTCTGTGATTAGTCTTTTGTTGACTCTGGTTCACATGGCTTTCGTTTGCCCCGTTATTTACTCAAGACTAACTATTGTGCTCTGTTTCTGTTTCTGCCTGCCAGGGAACCTGCGCAAGCCACCGGCCGAGCTTGTGCTGCAGTGGATTGCTGACGCGTGGGCCGCGGTGCCAGCAGAACTCATCCGCCGCGCGTTCAAGAAGTGCGGCATCTCCAATGCGACCAACGGCACAGAGGTCGAGGTGATTCTTGCCCACCTGCAGGACGACGCGGAGGTCGAGGTAATGGAGGATGTGCACACCGAAATGGAGGAGACTGGGGCGCAGAAACCCTTCTACAATGTGGAGTACATCGAGCCCAGCGCTGCGCCAGATGTAGAGGACGACAAGCTAGATGTGGAGACTGAGATCGATGCTTCGGCTTCTGCCTCATCCTCTGGAACGCCGCAGGTGGATGTCGCAGGAGCAACAGCAGCAGCAGCAGACTCGTCCCTGGACACGGCAGCACGTGCAACAGCAAAAGCCTCAGCAACAGCAGCAACAGAAGCAGATTTCCCTTCTGGCAAAGTTGACGAGGCCGATGGCGGAGAGATGCCAGCGGCAGAGGTTCTTGCTGGCCTGGCTGCGTCCTGCTGGACTGATGATTTCGACTAAGATGATATTGCCTCCGACGATGAAGATGCAGAGGTGTGGCATGTTGGAGAGGAATATGACAAGGAGGATTGATAGTAGACGTAACTATTGACTAGATGTGATGTCCTGCTATAGAGGCAGTAGAGTACGCCATGTAGGTATAGCTAGAATACGTAGAGTATCCCTGAGGAATTTGCTGCAACTGATGCTCTAACATTAAAAAAAAAGAAGGTTTTGACGTGAAAAAATGATGGAGGGTGTTGTAAGTACAATGCAAGGTCTAAAAAACGGGTGCTCTAAAAAATGTACGATATCATCAGCTATGCCCCGCATATGCCACCCATGGAGTGACTATTTCGGCGGGTGTTATATACGGGGGAATACGGTAAATATAATTGTTGACACACCCCCTAGCCTAGATAGTGGCAGTCCATAACAAGGCAGAGTACACCAGGGCAGTACTACTAGTCTGACCTCTGGTGACGGCAACAAGGCAACTCACGGCAGCACTAGTAGTCTGACCACTAAGACAAGAGGCCACAAGGCCAGTTAGCAAGTGTAGCAAGGCAAGCAGGTATAGAATAACAAGTACAAGCAGGTATAGTATGACTCATGATACAAAGAGCGGTGCTGCTACGGAGACTAGACCAAGCTGAGTACAGAACCGCTGATGGTCATGAGGCGCAATTGCCTTGGTGAAGATATCAGCGGTGTTGGCCTCTGAGCCAACTGTACCACACGAGCGACTGCGATGCTGCAGCTCACGCAGCAGGCAGTACCACAGCTAGATGTGCTTCTCCCTGCCCTCAAGTCGGGTCTCCTGACACAGGAGAATCATGGCCTTGTTGTAAGAAAACTGGACCGGGCAGACCTAGGCTGCTCACCTAAGTCTGTAAGCAAGAACGCCAGCCAGCGGACTCCTGAGCGGCCGTGGCCCCAGCGTAGACCTCTACCTCACAACTGGACTGAGCTACAGACAACGACCTAGTGGACCTCTACGAGACTGCACCAGCACCAAGACTAAAACAGTAGCCCTGAGACGACCTGAGTGTCTCCAAGTCGTCAGCCCACGACGCATCTGTGTGTCCAGTGAGCACCACTGGCTTCCGTCCTCCTAGCACAAGCCCCAGTCTATATGTACTCGCCAGATACCGCAGTAACCTCTTGGCAGCCGACCAGTGGACTGGTCGATGCCTGCTAATCGTGACAAAGCGAGCCAGGAGACTGAGAGTGTACACTAGATCTGGTCGAGTGCAGGTCATCAGGTACATGAGGCACCTCACTAGCTCTGTGTATGGACCACTAGCCTCGACCGGCTTAGTCGGAACAGTAGCAGAGAGCTTGTGATCCACGGATAGAGGGGTGGGCTGTGCTGAAGAGAACTGGAGACTAAACCTCTGGACAATTTGCTGCACCATATGGGAATGGGAGAGTGTGATCGTGCGAGCGGCACGGTCACGAGAGATCTCCAAGCCCAGATAGTGCCTCAGCTCTCCCAAGTCTGTACAGGTGTGTCTCTTAAGTAAGTCGGCCTTCAGTAAGGCCAGTGCGACTCTGTCAAGAGTAGCAAAGATAAGATCGTCTACAAAAAGTAGGATGTAGAACGGTGTCTAGCCCGTGAGAACAAAGAAGCAGAGGACGAAAAGAATTGTAGCTCAACAAGAGTGGTGCGAAGCGTGTCGTGAAACTTACGGGGTGCCTGACGAAGGCCGTAGACAGGACGGTGCAGAATCCACTCGGTCCTAGGTGAGAAGGACCCAGTGAAGCCTAGAGGGCGCCAGAGGTAGATCTACTCATGAAGACTTCCCTGCAGGAACGCTGTGGAGAAGTCAAGTGAGTGAAGCTCGT